ACACAGACACACACACACTTACTGCCATAATTAATCTCTTGAGATGAATCTAAACGTAATTCTAAACTTGATACTAAAAACCAGACTTGAAGGAGTGAGGACCAGACTTAATGTTCTCACTTTCCCAAACTGACCTCACTCTAAAAATATCCGACTGTTCTAAAAATAACCAGATTTTCCACCAATGTCCTCACTTTACGACGATGTCCTCATTTCCCAAATACGTCCTTACTCTGATGAAATGTCCTGACTTTGTAAACCGTCCTTACAAAAACCTCCTCGAACCAGATGATGTGAAACTGTTCGAGAGCACATGAACATACAGGGCTCAGGTGACCTCAGGTGTGTGTTCATATGAACGTCCTCCTCTGATGGGGTTCATCTGTTGGCTCACACTGGCATCTGGTGGCCGGAGAAGGAACTGACTCTGGTGCATTAAAGTCGGAAACAGAACTTCTCCATCTTCATGTCATATTTACTGATAGTTTGTTGAGTTATTTTGTCTCATTCATTGCCAGAGTAATAAATGTAAAACACTCAAACACTCCTCATATTGTAATAAACAGTGATTAACAAGATCTAGGGTTAATTAATGACAAAATTGGGTACAGAGCGGAGCAATAATTCAATATTATCATAATGTGAAGTTGTTTTTATGAAATTATTTTGTTTAAATTACTTTTTAATTATGTTTTCTTTTCCTTGGGAACTGTTGGGTCTCTAAATCATTTTATAAGCAATACAGTACATACCTTCTCTGTTGTTATGAATTGGTGCTATACAAATAATAATTTTAAAAAGTTTTAAAGAGTACAGGTAAACAAAAGTGATATATACATTTTCCTCAGACATTCACTCTTCTATAAGACTCTCTGAGGACTTTTATCTTCCGTATTGACGGACTTCCCTTAATCAATATTCAATGAAATACAGAGGACCGTCTCTCTGCTTCCATCACTACAATCAATATCTACATTATTATCTTTATCTAAAAAACATCTTAAAGGGTCTTTAATTAGCAGAAATTCATATCATATCACTTCATGGATCTCAATATAATGTGTTTACATATATATTTATATGTAATTAATATATATATTAAATATAGTTTATGTATAATTGTACATTTCTATTAATGTTGTATTTCAGCTGCTTTAATGTTGTTGTTTTTTATCAGTTTTTCTCTTTTTAAAGTTTGATTATATTAATAAAGTTGTTGTTCTTCAGTGATTTTTGTTCTTCTTGTCCTCCTGCAGACGTTTGTAGCCAACATCCTGATCGCGGTCAACCCGTACTATGACATCCCAAAGCTTTACTCGCCGGAGACCATCAAGCAGTACCGGGGCCGGTCTCTGGGCACGCTGCCGCCACACGTCTACGCCATTGGTGAGTCGGCACAAAACAAATGCACTGAACACGAGAATGTTTAGTGTTTTTGTTTCCTGTTGGTAGCTGTGGGTTCAGTGTGAGTTCTGTACGGTTTATTTCAGGTTGGTCCTGTGTGGGAGATTAATGTTAATTTTATATTTTAGAGTGTCCACAGTGAGTCACAGACAGACTGAGAGGTGTATTATTGATTAGTCATCACCGAGCGCTGATGCAGATATATACTTCTACTCATGGTTGATGTTTTTTGCTTCGAAAAGGTCTGCTGGTTGTAGTTTGATTATTTTTTTCTTAAAAAGAACTTATTCCTCAGTGTCCTGTCAGATCTGTGGACATAGAAAACACAGACTTTCATTACACCTTACATTAAACTGAGTTGTGGGTGATTGCAATCAGCTCATTAAAAAACACATAAAGAAAGAAATGAATGTGAAGTAGTTAATGCAGTTTAATGTAAGCTGCAAAGGGAGCTCAATCATTTTGTTTTGTTCATGGAGAAAATATGAAATCTGTCTGAAAGAAGTAGTTTTAACAGTCAAAGATCCAAAGAGAGTGTGGGAGTCTGAGTCTGTATGAAAAACCTTTTATCATCGTCAGTTCATGAATAGTCTCCTGTTGTAGTTTCCGATCTATCCACCAGGCAGCAGACAGCACTCAGATTTCCTACCGTCCTCTGAACATCACTCAGACCGACTCCTAGCCAGTTTAATATCGGTTTGATTATTGGGGTCAGGTTTGGGTCCTGGAGGCGGAGCGAAGTCTAATCTAACAGCTGCTTCTGTCTGTGTGTCCCACCAGCTGATAAAGCGTACAGGGACATGAAGGTCCTGAAGATGAGCCAGTCCATCATCGTCTCAGGGGAGTCCGGGGCCGGGAAAACCGAAAACACCAAGTTTGTGCTCAGGTGAGGATGAAGCTGCAGCTTTTCTTACAGACAGGATCAAAATGTCAGGAGTTGAGTACAATAAAAGCAAAACTCCATCTAGATAAAGTCTCTGAAGACCTTTTATATTTCAAACTTATTATTATTATTAAATTATTATTAAAAAAGGTCAACAACAAAGTAAAAGTTGTCAAAAGAAGCACAAAACCAGCAGTAAAAATGAGTTAGTTTTAAGTTTAAAACAGTTCATTCACTTCACTTCACAGTAGAGTAGAGGAGGTTGGACCACTGCAGGGTTTAAAAGAGGTTTAGCTGACCTTATTGATAGGCACTGTCAGAGCAGACGATGCCCAGCGCCATCACTCTTCTCTCTTCCATCAGTTAGTTTTGTGGTTTCTTGTCATTTTCTGATCACTCAGCTGTCACTATTGATTAAAGGCAATAAAAGCCAAAAACAAATAAATATTAACTAGACAAAGTTATTAATTCTACCTCAGCTAACACTGAAAGAAATGACAAGGAATTATACAAAATAAAATAATGGCTGATAACCCAGCTGATAACTGAAGATAGAAAACAAGTGAGACATCTTGTTTCTTTCTGACCTCTGTTGAGTTGCACATGCTCAGTACGGATCGGGCAGATCAGCTACTGATACACTTTATTGTCTCTTTAACACAAACTCACCTTCTTAAAGTACAACAGAAAACAAGAAGCTCATAAAAAAGTCAAATATATGGAAATCTCTTCAGTATTATGAGGTGTCTGAGTGGTGTTTTAATATTTAGTCTCATTAATATTAATGGAGTTGTAGCAGGTTTCAGTGAACACATCATCAGAGTGAGTATACAGTATATATCAGTCCATCCCCCCCTCTGTGTACAGTCTGTGGTCTCAGGACGTCGACACTAACCTGGGACTGTTTCTCCTGACAGATACTTGACAACCTCGTACGGAACCGGTCAGGACATTGACGAGAGAATAGTGGAAGGTGAGCCTGACCTCAGTTACAGTCAATGGACATGTATCTTTCTCTGAAATAATTATTAACAGAAAATATAAGAGACATGAAAGAGCTTGTTGCTGCATTAGCTCGTTGTTTCCTCTGTGTGAGTTAGTGTCTCTCTCTATAATCCTGCAGCCAACCCGCTGCTGGAAGCTTTCGGAAACGCAAAAACTGTCCGGAACAACAATAGCAGTCGCTTCGGAAAGTTTGTGGAGATCCACTTCAATGAGAAGGTAACTTCAGTTTGTTCTCTTCCGCAGTTTCACAAATAATGAAATGTTGTGAATTAAATATGATGGCTCATAGTTATTTAGCATAAATAGTTTATATTGATCTTCAATTCTGAATATTTCTGAATATCTCTGCACTCATGAATAAACTCTGTATTCGCTGCATCATCGCAGATGCTTACACAGCAAAACACCTAACAGTGATTAGACCTCAGTTCCTGCACTTATCATGATAAATCCTATAAATCAGAATATTTCATATAGTTTTCATACACAGACTGCGACCTGATACACTGTTATTTGATCTTGTATTATTCTCGATATTTGTCCTAGTGGAGTATTTTCACAGTATGTTATCAGTACTTTAACTCAAATGTCCAGTGTGTAAGATTTAGTAGTGTCTAGTGGTGAAGTTGCAGATTAAAACTCCCTTGCTTCACCCTTCACTTCCAACCGTGAAGTAGAAACTTCGTTAGCCACAAAACACTCTCTAGATAAAAACGTCTCGTTGTTAGGTTACATATATTCAGGTGATTATAAACTAATGGAAACATTCCTGTGGACATTATATTGTGTAACACATTGGAGCTTTAAAGTAGAGGATGTGAATACACTGACATTAAAATGTGTTTCCTGTTGGTGCTCAGAACGCTGTCGTGGGCGGCTTCGTGTCTCACTACCTGCTGGAGAAGTCGAGGATCTGCAGACAAAGCTCCGAGGAGAGAAACTACCACATCTTCTACCGACTGTGTGCCGGAGCCACCGAGGACATCAGGCAGAAGTTCCACCTCAGTTCCCCGGACACGTTCAGGGTACGGCAGTTTCTCCTCAGTGTCTGATGAACCCAGTGTCACACAGACGGATGGAGTTTAGATTGGTGATAGATTGGTGACGGATTGGTGATTGGTGATGGATTGGTACTGCAGATGATGGATGAGCAGAGCAGGGAGGAGTATTGATCCTTATAGGTGCTGTTCTGTGTGAGTGTATCAGCAGGTGAACAACGGTCGGTGATGTTTGTATCTTCGGAGGAGCGTGTGTGTTTTGGTCTCGCTGGTGGAGAACAGATGTTGGAGAACATCTGGACCCTCCACAGAGACAGTTGTGTCTCTGATAGGAGACGTGATGTCACACAGTTTCAAACCACCTCGCTGGGAACGCGTCGCTGTCAAACCCGGCTGTGTCATGTGACTGAGCCTGACCTTTGACCTCCTCGTTGATCATCGTAACTTCATTCAAAGTGAACATAAAATCAAATAAAACTCACCAAAACCGTCTCTGTTAGTGTTTCCAACAATCACCAACTCCACCAGTTTTTCATTTTCTCTCCATCGATGATGGTGATGATTCAACATTGGTTCAGAGCTGATTAAGTATCGAGAATATAGCATTAACATGGGTGATTAAGCTCTCACGTCCCCGCTCTATAAACACAACCCTTCGCAGAATTTGCTCAGTGTGTTATTTTTCTCCTTTTGGCTGTTCAATACAAATATGTTCAACTTTTTGTTCTTTTTTTCACTTCAGCATCACATTTAATTCCGATATCATCCTGAGTCACACCTTTTACCTGCACTGTCAGCAGTAGACACTCCGCTGTGGCTGTGGGATTTTATAACTTCTAACTACATTTCTGAACTTTATGAGCAGGACACACACTTTTACTTCCTCTGACTGTGTGGAAATCTGTTGTTTTCACCTCACAGAAAGTGTTTAACAAAGTTTCTCCTTAATCAAAAACTCTCAAAATTACACATTTTTTAAAGGGAGTCTAGGGACAGAACAGTGTGTTCACAAACATCTGCTGCTTTTATCAGGTGTAGCAGGTAAAAGAGCCCAAATGTATAATAATAAGCATTACAGTGAACCGAATGGAAATAAATGAATGTGTAACGTTTGCTGAATTTACAAGAAGGCCCAAATGATTAAGAATTTATTATAGAAACAGTTTATGAAGTTTCTCCTCAATCAACAATCTCCGAATTGTGCGTTTTTTAAAGGGAGTCTGGGGACAGAACAGTGTGTTCACAAACATCTGCTGCTTCTGTTAGAAGGTAAAAGAGCCCAAATCTATCATTCACATTAAAGTGAACAGAATGGAAATCAGACAGTGTGTTTCTGTGTACTAACAGGACGTCAGTTGAGTTCAGTGTGGCCCAGGATGCATTGCGTGCTCACTGCTAAAACAATGTGGTCACATACGGCCCTGAATGTCTCAAAGTTTACCAGGTGTAAAAAGACCACAGAGCCACTGTGATATTAGACAAATTGACACACATATGTGGGAGATTAACCAGCTCGGGTCCCAGTTTCAGTTGTTTACACACAAACATCCAAATAAAAGCTAAATAATATCACATATGCACACATTCTGAGCACTTCCTGCCTCCAGCTCTGTGGCTGACGGGCAGCAGGGGGCAGCACTGAGCCGTCACTGAGGCATTAAAGCCTCTGGCTGCTGTACTCTCTCTGCACTGTAAGGATCCAATGAACATAAACAAACAGAGGAATCTGCATTAATGCTGCAGTGAAAGTAACGCACAGATAATGGCTGCTACAATCTGCTGTTTGTTCCCATAGCCGTCTGCTCCGACTGAAACTGCTGTTTTTATCATCTACGTCAGTGAATTAAAGATTTATTTCCACCAAACCAGAGTTGGTGATTGTTGGAAACACTAACAGAGACGCTTTTAATGAGTTTTATTCAGTTTCTGTCCACTTTGAATGACGTTACGATGATCTGAAGGTAAAATGAGTGTTTTTTTCTATGGAGTCTGCTGGAGAACTATAGCGACTGTTATGTCCCCATATTTATGAATCAGCGATCATTCAGATTGAGATCAGGTTGTAGTAAGATGAGTTATTCATTATATATTGTTGATCATTTATTGTTCTCTCTTTTTAAGTCATGATTCTTTGAGTTATAAGAGTTAAAGATGGAGAACTACAATGTGTCCACTAGAAGGAACAGAATAAGCTGTAATAAAACCTCAGGTGTGTTTGACCTTCAGATCCTGAACAGGCCTCGTCTCTGCTCACCTGATTCCCTCAGAAAAGAGCTGAGTCATACTCGTCTCCGCTGCCGTTGGAAGAGAAAAAAAAACTCACTTTCTTTCTTCCAGAGTCGTCGCTTTTATTGCTTGTGCCTCAATTCAATACTTTATTCTCACCTGCGTCATTGTGGGGCCTTAAAGTGGCGCTGCCGTCCCCCCGCAGCTTATTACGCCTCCCGCTGTCGGTTCAGCAGCTTCTAATGGCTTCATACATCCTCACCCTCCTGCTGCTGGGGAGAGATTCAGTGAGCTGGCTCAGAATAACAGTGGAGTGATGAACCTCCTGTCTGCATGGAAGGAGGGAGGAGGAGAGAGGAAGGAGGGAGAGATGGAGGGAAGAAAGGGAGGAGGTGCGTTCAGGTTCGAGCAGTTTGTTCAGGACGGTTGTTCAGGTGTGTTTGATGTAAAGTGATGGACAGAGTGCAGATTAGAGCTGAAAGGTGTGAGAGGAAAAAGACTGAAAAGTAATCAGAGTAAAAGTTGGTTAAGGAGAAAGGAAGGAAGGAAGGAAAGGTAAATGAAGAAGGTTAGAAGCCTGAACATTAAAGACACAAATATGGTAAATTGGAAGGAAGAGAAATAAACATTAAAGTAAGGAAGTAAAAAGATGAGGGACGGAAGGAAAGGAGGAAACAAGGATTGATGAAAGGACAGTTCCTCTGAAGTTCACTAACAAGAACAAAATGGACAATGTGTCCCATAATGCAACCTGCTGCAGAGACTGAACACAGGACTCCTCTTCCTCCCTCCCTCCCT